TTTGCTTTAACACACAACCAAAGCTACAGAAAAGTCAGTATTAACATAATATTTTGGTTATTTAAAAAAATTGTAATGTTAGTTTTACATCATTTAAAATCCCAAAATAATACTCTAGCAGCAATAATGCAAATTAAACTTACAACTCAATACATTAAGAAAAATATAAACACTTTTCTATTTGCTGAATTTTAATAGATTAAGAATTTTGCTTTGATTTCTTCAAACCAAGGTAATGAAAAAATAAAAATATAAATAAATTCACTGTTTAAGTTTGATTTAAGATTTTTGAATAGGATGAAATCCAAGGACTAATATTTGGAGGGGGGGCAAATTCACAAAGCTATTAAAAGAATCACTGAAGACACTTTTCCAAAAAAGATAAAACAGACTAATATCTGGATTACTGAAAATAGTTTTCAAGAAATAGAACTAAATTTCACATTGCTAGAAATGCAATAAAAATAGTGTCCTTAAGATAAAGTAAATACTAATAATTAAATCGTTTAGAAAGCTTGCGTTAGAAATATCCTTTAACTGAATAGTCAATTCAATTTGGTATAATGTAAAATTTTAAACAATTTTTTTTTTTAATAAAAAGTTATAAATTGAAATAAAATATTTAACAATGTTAAGAATGCTAAAGACTAAAAAAAAAAAAATAAGCATAAAACTTTGGTCAAACAGTTTAAAAGGAGAAAGCAGAAAAACAAACATTTATGTACTTTTATCAACTTTGCTTGATCTCAAATATCATTTGCCAACAGATGATTAATGATGAAAACCAAGTACACTGAGCTACAAAAGATAAAATTATGAAATCTTTTACCTAGGTACCTCCACGAAATCGCTAAAAAAAGAGCATAGCTTGATGAAAAAGACGCCAACCTTGCCGAAAACTAAATTTTATTGTCTAAATGCTTATGTTATTATTAAGAGGAAAAAGACCAAAGTTTTTTTTAATTATTTTAAAAAATTTTCCTTCTTTTAGAACATTCTAAATTTTGATTAAAAAAACCTTTTTTCTATTTGTATCAGCAGAACTAGTAAATAACAGACAATTTTAGCACGTTTTTTTTTGGTATGACACACATTAATTTGAAAAATCGTGCAAAAATAGAAATAATTATCGGATGTTAATGAAACTTTCAGGAACTATTCACAGATGATCGAAATTATTATAAATGTTTTTTTTTTTATGAAAGTCATGGTAGAAATATTTTTTAAAAATATTTATTACCCCCATAACTAATTTTATGAAAACGCTAGAAATTGATCGCATCGGTTTTAGTGATTACAATAATTAAAAAGCACAGGGCTTTGAGGAATGCAAATCATGTTTTTTTTTTTTTTTTTTAATTGGATACGCAGTACCTGAAAATCAGCTCTGAATTGTAACATACAAAACTCAATAAAACAAAGATATTATTTAATTTCAAATGCTTTTATTTGCTTTTAGTTTTTTATGAATATGGACAATATTTTCTGAAAGCAAAAAAATTTTTTTCGATGAAAAATGAATTTTTAATATAATTATTTGTTATTTCATTAATTATAATAGATTTTACATTTAAGTTGTTAAAATATTATAAAATTAGTTAAAAGTCAAGATCGGCTTTCATAAGTGTCCTTATGAGATAGATCTTTTTTAGCGCGTTGTAAATTGTATCATTTTGACTAATCAGAAGATCCCCAGTAATTAAGAAATGTAATTTGCTTATAATCGAGCTGTAATTATAAAATAGGGAAGACCAACCAGAATATAATTAAGTTGCGTTATTTGAGTTAAGCATTGTTCTCCGCTGTTAAGGCCTTTTACTTTTACGAAAACACGTGTGGAGAAGTTAATTTGATTTTTCAATTTCAACTGAGAAGGTTACCTACAAGTATCAGTATCATCTTATGAAATTTATATGATCTTATTTTTATATTAATCTCAGTTACGACATTTTTCCATAAATGAAATATCAAAATTAATAATAAAATGAATGCAAATACAAATAACAGTAGAATGTAATAAATGTACATAAAATTATAGTATTTTATGTACAATTCTGATAAAATTTCATAAGAAAGGTACCTATAAATTAATTAGATACCTTTCTTAAGAAATATGAAATTTAATGTCACTCTTAACAGTTTTATTTTAATTTCTTTACAATATATTTCCCATAAAGCATCATAAACGTAAAGGTGAAAGTACAAAAAAAAAAAAAAAAAAAAAAAATTAGACTGCTGAAAGTTTTCGCTAAAAATAACGGGTAAATAATTTGTTCACGTAAATGTAAATTATTTCACTTTTCTCCTTCCGTAGAACAAATTAGCCTCATGGAATTCAGTAAATATATCATTCATCACATGTCAAGAGACGCGAAAGTTTATGACCTGCTTTGTTTTATTTTCAAATTACATCTTTTTGGCACAAAAAAAGCTAAGTTAAGTTTGGTTCAAAATATTTTAAATAAACATTATAATTTCTGATTTTCTTAAAATAAGTTTTGAAAAAATGATAATTGATATTTAAAAAAAAAGTTTCAAAAATGTCAGATTTCCAGTTTTTTTAAAATGGACGTGCTAGGAAAAAAAATGGAAAAAATCCCCAAAAATTTTTGACCTTTCTCAAAAAAAAACATTTAGACCTAAAATTTTGTTTTTCGTCATTTTTTTTTCATCGGCTAATTTCGGACCTAAGTTTATCCCACTTTCTGGCTAATGAAGAATGTCTAGATTAAAAATGGAGTGTGTTTAGGATTGTCCTTTGCTTTGATACTGGGTCTTTTACTTTTTGTTTTGCTTATCAAATTATCTGCTTTCAGAAATTAAGTTAGCTGATTGACTTGTTCTTAAGAATGCTGGTGTTAATGTTAATGAGGTGATAAGTAAATGATAATTTTCAGGAGATTTAAAAAATATTATTTTATTTAATTTATTAAACTTTGCCTACTAGTATATATTCTTAAAATGTGTCATCTATATGGATGTTAATTTTGAGTTTTAAATTTTTAATTCAGTCTATGATTCTTGACATGAAGAAAGCAATGTCCAATTAATATAAAAATTTCATTACTACTAAATAAACAAAGACAATGATCATCAAACTTAATTTCCACGTTGCTTGATCTTAAAGGTCAGATTTGAGCTTAAAAGCTTTTTTATTTATTAACCTACTTTGTAATTAAACAAATTATATGGACCCTTGACAAAATCCAGAGATGAATATGCACTGTGATAGGTCTTGATCTGGCATCTTGTCTACAGTCACTTTCTCACAGATTTGCTGTGGCTTCCCTCTGTCTTTTCTACAAATATTTTCATGACAACTGCTCTGATGAGCTACTTTCACTGGTACCCTAACTATGAATTTAAGCGTGCTACTAGGTTGGCATCTCGGTTTCACACTTTCACTGTCAAAACAGCTAAATGTAACTGCCTCTTCAACAGCTTCTTCTCTTGCACTTCCCAACAGTGGAACTCCCTTCCTCCTACTTGCTTCCCTATAATCTTCAAATATTCAAATGTAATCGACATCTTCTGATGCCTTGATCCTGATTTTTCTTTATATCCTTCCCTCAAACACCCTCTTTACTCTTGCTCTTACTCTCTGTAACCTCTTGCATGCCAGCAGAACTCCTGCCTTGCTTGGGGTGGAATGATTTAAAAAAAAAAAAAAAAGAGGCTGTAGTAAATATCTGGTTAGAAAAAATGTTTCTGAATATGGCATTTCAAAAGACAGCAAAGTAACAAAATAAATTGGCCAAAAGTTCCTACTTTATATCAAGAGGAAAACCTGGAGATACAGGAAAAGTACTTGCACCCAGGAAAAGTTTAATTTAAGAGAATTATTGAAGATTTATACTGCAATTTAAAATTTATTACACTTAAATCAGTTTCAAGACACTTTCTTTTCATACTCTAGAGCAGTAGTTCCCAAGCCTTTTTTTTCTCTGGGCTGCATTTTCAGAATGAAAGATTGCTTGCACATCAAATTTTATGTGATGAAAAGTACATTTAAAAATAGAAAAAAAAAAACAGAAAGCATGATAAAGGGAGATAACCGTGGATTCGAAGTCAGAACATTATCATTGATAACTCTCTCCTCCAATTTGCAGAGCCAAATTACTATATTCTTAATACTTGATATAATGCAAAATTATCAATATGATAAAATCAGTCAATCACTATAAGTATTTATACTGGAACTCATGAATGCAATTACAAGTAATCCATAATATTTTAAATTTTGAAATCATTTATTTTTGGCATATTTTTTTAAATAGTTTCAAAATCTTTGATTGTCTTTCAATCATGCCACCTCACCTGCTATCATCTTCTGACGCACTGTTTGGGAACTACTGCTCTAAAATACTTTAGAGCAGTAGTTCCCAAACATACGTCAGCCTTTCAATTTCATATTTTCTTTTGCTAATCTTTATTCAGCACTTAACTGAACAGTATAAATGTACTTTTGGTACTGCTAAAATCCAGAAGTCCTACAGAAAATCTATAAGATTTATTGCCATAATTCAATACATTATTTTCTCAGTCTATTGACTTGGGCTATGAACAGTTTCATCTCTGCTTCAGCTGAGAGGCATTGGTTTAGAAAGTACTTCCTGCTAGAATCCAATTGCTTTTTGAACACCACAACTGTTGTTACTTTAAACCCTGGTCACATGGCTTTATTCATCTTGACATGTGACTTCTCCATTTAATAGCTCTTTGCCAAGTTGTCCTTTTGTGTTGGAAAATGTAAGAGAAATAAATAGCGATGATTATATGATATGGTCAGCTGAATGCCAATATGAAAAATCATTTTGAAATTCAGTCGTGAATCACTAATGAATTTTGCAATATTGTTTTATAAAAAGCAAAACCAAGATATGAAACAAAAATGTAGTTAAATGTAAATCAAGCCTTAATAAAAAAAAAAAAGCAGCAGCATTAGAACCAAAAAAGTGAAATAAGAAACAAAAATAAATCAAAGCAAAAGTCGACATTACCTTGCCTGTGAATGACATAGCCGAAGTAGCAAGATCAGACATTTCAGATGGTTTCAGAGGATAGACAATTTCCCGATTGACTATTGGCCTTAAAGAAAAGGAAAGAAAATTACATCAGTATCTGAAAACAGTCCATATAAATAAAAAAAAAAAAAAAAAAAAAAATAGTACAGAAAGGAAAAATTAAAGGGAATTGTAGATATATTTTTTTTCTTTTTAACCTAATTTAAAATCATTGTCAATATTTTCATCAAGGAGAATGCAATATTATGATATTCCTGATATAATGAAACTTTCTTTCAACCTTATTTGATTTGCAATTCACAGTTTGCATCAAGACAATTTCATGAGTTTTTCAAAATTGACCAAAATAGAAACCATATCAACTGCCATTTTTATAAACAACTTGGTTTCAATCAATGCAAGTTTGCTTTTGCCTTTTTCCCTAATGTTCACTCAATACAATTCTAGAGCCACTCAAGGTAGTGGCTTACTGAATAAGGTGTGAATGTAAGAGAAAAAGTCCCAGATAAAATTATTTGAAAAATAACGAGCATGCCAAATCAAATAATCACCATGCCCGAGAGAAGGGGTGAAATTGAAAGAAATTATTTTATCATGTCAGCACTTGTGTGACACCTACTGAGGCGTTCTGGGGTTGACTCTTAGTCACTGCGCCAAAATGTGACCCAGTCGATCGATGGTCATCTCTACCAGTGGGAACCTTTGGTCAGGGTACCAAATGGGATGGTTGATTGATTCTAATGGCACAAATACATAACGACTTCACACCAGATGCAACCAGTTCGACACCAGCTCTCGTTCTCAGCTTCTCATAACTACTTTGATATCAAGTCTAACCTACCCACATTGTGATTTTGATCATAGGTTGACGAGATCAATCAGACACCAGGGCCATCATGCAAGGTGAGCCTAAATTGGAGGTGACATCACACAAGCAAAAAGAAATAAAAAAAACCAAAAACAACAAAAAAAACAAAACAAGGTTTGGGTATGTTTAAAGACATATACAGGAGTGTGTGTTTATTTGAGAGTGACATTTTTATACTTCTAGGCAAGTTCTAGTCTTCTAAGTCAACTGGTTTAGTTTTGAAGTGCTGGCTTAGCTTCGTTTGTCAGTATAACTTGCTGTTTGTAGAAAGGCAAAGTCAGAGGCAGGAATTGTGGAATCTCTCAGTCAGCACTCTTGTAGCTTTTCCCAACTGCAAAACACAAACTAGTGAACTACCCAAGGGCACTCGCTTATATGGACTTCAACCAAAATCTGTGGCGGGGTTAGATGCAGCCTGAGGTTTTCAGTGAATCCCTGATTTCCAACAAGGGTCCCTTTGTTGTCTGGCCAGGAAAATTAATTACTTCCTATTTCTGGGGGAATCCTTTCATTCATGAGGAGAGGTACCTCACACCAATTCCTTTCGGTGCACGTTATAACTTCTCCATCTCTCTTAGTATTTTACCTCCGCCTATTACTACTGCTACCACATGACCAATGGTGTCTCGGTTGTTCTGGTGTGGCTAAGCTTGCTTAATTAATTAACTCTTTGACACCACTACTTATTCAGGATTTCTTATCTTGTTCCCAGATCACGAGCAGTTTAGAATTATCAAATGGAACTTTGTTTATTCAAATCCTTTTGTGCACTGCCAAAATTCCTACAATTAACACATGGCCCTCTCATCTGGCCATTTCCTTGGTCACATTACTTGTGTATACAATATCTATGCACTCTCGAATGATATCTTCGTCGATTCTGGTTATTTTGTGTTTTCTTAACCAGCACTTTTAACGACCATCATTAATCAATTGTCAGAGATCACTACATTGCCTCTTTGTAAAATTATCAATGATGCAATTCTTCGGTTTCTTGAGAAAAATAGACTTTTTGAAAAAAAATGAAATCTTATGTTGATCAGTATATTCTCCAGGATATCTCTTAACCCTTCTTTTCTGTTTTCAGCATTTTCCCGTTCAATTTTTATGGCTAATTAGTTAATTACCATAGCTTAATAGTGTCACAATTGTCTTTGGTGCACAAGAGCATCATTTTCAATAACACAGCTAGATTTTCTCAACAAACTGGTAAGTGACTTTTTTTTAAAAAGATAAAAAAAAAAAAAAAAAATACTGTCAAGGAACTATGCAGCAAAATGTTCAATTTCAATGGTAACATTAAAAAAAAAAAAATAAAGTCAGAAAGATTACTTACATCTCAAACTTAAAAGTATCTTTCCAGGATTTGATTAAAGTCTCCAAGTTATCAGGTGGATCTTCTTGGAATTTGTTTTTGTACGCCATGGCCAATTTGGACATCCATAATCCATTTGAAAGTACAAGCTGATGGTCAAAGTAAAAATGTCTAATGTTGATAATTTTCAGAAAAGCAAGATAGTGCAGAGATTTCATTTATAACCTAAACAAATCAAAAAGGACAGGTTCTGTAGTGAAATGAAGAGACAATACAAATAAGACATAGGAATACCTACCTGCTGGACTCGATGTTTTAATGTCTCTTCATCAATAATAACATTACTTTCTGTTGCATCTGAAAGGAAACAAAAGGAAAAAAAAAAAAAAACTTTCAAATAATCATAGAAAATTATTTTGCATAAAGAATGAAATTGTGGAAGTGACTATAGAAAAAGAAGAAAAAAAAAAAAGTTTTTAAGGCAAAGGCAGTAGTCCATATTGGTTATGCTTCTTAACAGGTCTGAGTCATTATAACATACATGCTATTTGCCACCAATTTCACCAATTTGATTCAATATCCTCAGATTAGCATGAAGCTTTGGTTCTTGCTCCAATTAAAGTGCAGAGATTTCGTTAAAAAATTCAAAGTTACAAAGATTAACAGACGCAAAATATGTACAAAGAATAGACTGGGTAAAAACATCAAAGGTGAGGAGATTCTTTTATATGCTGTCTCTTCAGGTTATGGGGCAATCATGGCACTCTAAAACTTCTATTCAGCCATTCATTTACACAAGCTTGTTAGCTACGTTATTCACGGTTTTTCTTTTTTTGTCCTGTTATTTCTTTTATTCTCATTTATATATATATATATATGCCGTATCTATGGTGTTCTTAATTGTTGCATAATCCATTACTAGGATCCATGGACAATGCTTATTTAATTAAGTACTTTGACAGAAAATTAATATAGATCTTGTTTAAGGCATCTATTTGAATTCAGAGTTGTCCTTCTCCTAGGTTGGTTGCCAATCACAGCTACAGGGTCCAGTCAGTCCTGCTACTTAATTCATAGCTGGGGGAAAGAGTTGGATTCATACATTTCCCAAGGGTATCTGCATGAAATTGAGTGTAATGGATTCGATTGGAATTCAATTGGTTTTCAGGTTTCTCATTATGAGATGCTATCCATTATACCACCTGTACATCGAACAATGATCATTTTTTTTTTTCTGAATAAGAGTAATATTTTATGTCATACAAGAAAAAAGAATAAAAATAAAACTTACTGGCTCAAACTGGAAAAGTCTTCTCAATCCATTTAATC